GTGGGGATTGGAGACAGACGTGGGGATGGGGGACGGACGTGGGGATGGGGGACAGACATGGGGATGGGGGACGGACGTGGGGATGGGGGACAGACGTGGGGATGGGGGGCACGGGATGATGGGGACGGGGCACAAAAGAGCATGGGGACGCAGTACATGGGATTGTGGGGATGGGTGTGGGGTCGGGGAGCATGGAACAGTGGGATGGGGCACGTAGGGACGTGGGGACAGGGCACAGGAGCGTGGGGACAGGGGATGTGGGGATGTGACACGCAGCGTTGTGGGGACAGGGGGCACAGGACCGGACTGTGGGGGTGAGGGACGATGGGGCCGCGATGCACGGGATGTGGGATGGTGGGGACAAAGGCGCATCCTGGGGACTGCCTATGGGACACGGCGGGGACAAAGCACGGAGGCCACGCTGTGGGGCACGGCCCACAGGCAGGTGGGGACGTGAATTTCGCCACCACCCCACATCCTGTCACCTCCTGCGCCCGCCCAGACGCTTCTCTCCATCCACCCCGGGGCGGGCCCTGTCCCCGTGCCCTATAAAAGCACCGCCGGTGACAGCCCAGGGGACACCACGCGCAGGGCAGGACTCGGAAGCCACCAGGCTGTGCTTCTGTTGGGGACAAGCGGGGACGGAGCCCGGGCCACATTTTTGGGGCGTTCACTCTGGAACCTACTGACGGTCGGTGCCGGCAGCCATGTCCTTCGTGCCCAGAGAGGCAGGCAGGTGAGCCGCGGGGACGGGGCCGTCCCTGTCACCTCTCGTGTCTCAGGACTGAGTCACGCAGCCGTGGCAGCCGCCCTCAGCTCTGTGTCACCCCACCAGGGGCCGCGGGGGACGTCCTGTGGGGTGGCATCAGCACCAGGGGCGGCCGCTGGGGGTGGCGATGGAGGCGGCCGCTGGGGACGGTGACCCGATGGAGTCCGTTGTTGACCCCGACATGGTGGCCTTGTTTGATGACTTCCTGGGGAGAGGTAGGGATGGGGAGCGCGGGGGGCCCTGTCCTCGTGTCCCCAAGGTCCCCTGAGAGCTACATCCCCTTGTCCCTATGTTCCCATGGGGCCGGTCCCCATGGTCCCCCAAGAACCCCATCCCCATGTCCCCATGTCCCCCTGGTCCCCTCAGAGCCCCATGTCCTCATGGCCCCCAAGAACCCCATCCCCTTGTCCCCTGTCCCCACGGTCCCCTTAGAGCTCCATCCCAACGTCCCCATATCCCCTGTCCCCATGTCCTGCGTCCCCATGGTCCCCTCAGAGCTCCATCCCCATTTCCCCATATCCCCTGTCCCCACAGTCCTCCAAGAACCCCATCCCCATGTCCTCATGTCCCCCATCCCCATTGTCCCCTCAGAGCCCCATCCTCATGTCCCCATGTCCCCGTGTCCCCATGTCCCCGTGTCCCCGTGTCCCCATGTCCCCTCCCTTGCAATGTCCACGCATCCCCACGCCCCCAAGATGCCCATCACGCCTTTATCCCCTCTCCATGCCCCCATGTCCCCAAGGTCCCCACGTTGCCGTGTCCCCTCCCTCCATGCTTGTGATGCCCACCCATCCCCCCACGCCCTCCTTCCCCACGTCCCCAAATCCCCACCCAGCTGCGACGTCCCATCCCCCCACCTCCAACCCCCGTGTCCCCCTTCCCAGCGCCGCCCACACGTCCCCCCGTCCCTCCACGGCCCCACATCACCCACGT